TCCCAGATTGAATTTGGATGTCCTGGAGCTGGCACAGCTTCACATGGGTACTTCCATAAAGATTGCCTTTTAGGAGAGACTTTTAGGCTGTTTATCCATGAAAAAAAATGCTGCCATTGCTGCTCAGGAGCTTCCCTCTCCCCGCATGTCCCTGAAGGTGAATTCCTGTTTATTTCCTTAGGCAGCTCTATTCATAGCCTTCAAAAGCTGCCAAGCTGCATCTGTCAGGCCCAAGAGGACTCAAAAGTGCATCTTAGGTAAACACCAGGAGCAAGGTGGGACTGCCCAGAGTTAGCGGTTCTCCCTTGGAAGCTTTATTGCACCTTCTGAAAGTCATGGGCACGTCTCCAAACCAAGTCTTGAGCAAAAGTGAGGCTGAGACACCAGACTGTAGTTCAGACACACAACATCCCCATGTCCAGGATTAATAGAGAACAGCGGGAGGTTATTTGGATATTGGAGGTATTGGATCTGGATGTGCCCAGATCATGCATGGGAGCTTCAAAGTAGATGAAGACCTCTCCCGTCTGCCTGGTATGACAGCTCCAGGGGACTCTGCCAGAGGGACACAGTGGGGGGCTACAGCCAGAGTGGTTCTATCTATCACCCGCTCTGTGTGTAGCTGGGGGCAGGCACAGCTGAGCTGTTCAGACCTGATGCCCACAAGAGGCACCCAGGGCAGTGTAGGGCTAGCTGCAGCACACATTGCTCCCTACTTGCACCACGGCTGAGGAAGTTGATGGATTATTTTGTCCCTGCTTCTTTGGGCTCAGTTTGGTTTCAGGGAGGACAGGTAGGCTTCTCCCAAGCCTGCAGCCCCACATGCTTCCAAGTGAGTGAGGTGATCATTGCAGGGGTAGTCTGAAAGAGGTGGGGGAGAGCTCTCTCCCATGGGCATGGGAATTGCCTTCCACCAGAAACACCAGGACAGCTGTGAGAGCCCACACACACCATGGAAAGAACAAGCCATCCTACAGCAAGTATGTTCTGTGTCCTGGCTCCGCAGCCTGACTCACCACAGAGCCATGCGCAGCTGGATTTCACCCCCAGCCCCACAGACCTGTGGTGTACACTGGAAATCCACAGCGACATGCACTGCTCCTTCTCCATCTGCTTCTGACAGAGCCAGCACCCTGTTTGCCTGCATCGCCCACAGAGCCAGCTCACCCCAGTCCACCTGCAGAGCATTGAGGCTCAGGCTGTCCCAATCCAGGCACTGGAAGAGACCTTGGCTGGGTGTCAGTCTGTTCCACCTGAACTAGGCAGAAGTCCTACTGCTGAGCCCAGGGAGAGAGTCTCAAACCACTGGGGAGAAACCTTTGGCCCAAGTAGGACAAAGACAGCCACTCTTGGAGAAATTCCCAGGGCAGTTTGGGTTCATCCTGCCCTGTGCAGCTGGTGCTTTCTGTGTCCATGCATCTGCTTAGTGTGAGTCTAGAGAGCACAGCCTTTCTGCCTCTGATCTGCTTCTGAAATGGAAAAAACCAGAAACCCTCATGCAGGACCTGCTGACACACTCCCAGATAACAAGAGAGCTGTGACATTCCTCGGATAAGCAGATTCCTGTCTGCTCTGCACTTAGTCATCTCACTTGCCTTCTCCTCAGCTGAGTGCTGGGCTCCCACCGCAGCAGCCATTGCCTTTCCCCAAGCTGCCCTGTGCCTGCAAGGAGCTCACACCCAGCGAAGAAGACAGTAAATGATATTCCCACAGCGGTTCCAGGGCATCCTGTTTATTTATATGCACTGTGAGTTCATTGTTTTGCAGCAGCATCCACCAGCAATTAATGCAGAAATATCCTCTGCAGGAAAACTCATTAGAGTATCTCTCCCAGAGCTGAGTGGAGGAAGGCTTCTCACTGACAGATTGGTGACTAGGTGACAGCAGGATTATTAATCCACACTTGTATCCCTTGACCAAGCTGCTTGCTCACATTTCTTTCCTTCCTTTGCAGAACTGTTCCCCTCTTGGAGAGCACTGGGGTTTTCTCAAATGCTCCAGCCCAAGTCTGCCCAACCTGTCTTAAAATGGGATGAATAAACTTGGATTTTGAACTGGGGTTAGCTGCAGTTCAAACCTCAGCCCTGAAAACCCCTTGACTTTGCTGTAAACTGAACTCCAAGTCTCAAGGGGTCTTGTCCTTTTTGCCATTTCCATCGGAGTTTGCGTGGTTGCTTGACCTGGGAGTGCATCAGTTGTGCCCGAACCACCCTGCTGGCATGTGGTTGGAGCTGGACCTGCGAGGCTGGCAGCAACGGGATAGCTCCTGGGGCTGATGAGGCCCTGAGGCAATCTCCTGCCCATCCAATGCTCCAGACAGCATAAGACAACCTTGTAAGCATGTGTGAGGTCCAGTTTTCCACCCTCACACCCCTCTTTGACGACCCTACTAAGCCTTGTAAGTGTGGAGAGGACTTCTCAGGACTTCCTCTGCGAGCTCTGGAGCTCCTTAAAGCTGCTGAGATTAAAGAGCCAGCCAGTTGCTCCAGGCTCATTTCCCTCTGTGTGCGATCCCCCTCCATCCCACTGCCGACAAGGCACACCCAGTGCTGGCACTGTGCCCCTCACAACACGCAGGACCCGGCTGTCCCCACTATGTGCATGGAGGACCATGGAGACCCCTTACTCCCCCCCAGCCTGGGCTCACCGCTGTGAGCTCGAGGGCCTTTTCCAGATGTGGCTGCATCACTGCGCAGGCTGCTTTTTGCTTTCACCCAAAACCAGGGTTTAAGCCACCACATATATAAAGAAATCCCCGTTATAATTATCGTCCTGACACTATCATTTGTCAGAGTCCTTAGAAGAGGGCTTAGCTTCAGGCTATGGTGAAGAGCACTAAGCAATTGCCACGTTGTCAGTTAGAAAAGACGTGGTTTCTTTTCTCTTCTTTTTTTTCTCCCCCCCCTCCCTAAAATTTTTTCCAGATGTCTTTTTGGCTTTTTTTCCCTTCGGAGCAGTACCAGCAGCTGTACAATTTCAAAGTGAGCCATGACTAATCCAGCACAGAGAGCATTCAACAGGAGCATTCAGCTCCTCGGGGTGTGAATCAAGCAAATGAAACTTTGGCTTAGAGGATGTGTGACCTCTGGAGCCAAACTGGACCTACAAGTGGCACTGAGCTGCACGTGGGAGCTATGGACACTGGTCGTGGGAGAAGATGTTCCAGATTTCACAAGTAATTGGCTGTGCTAGAAGTTTGCATGTGGTCTTAGACATAAAACTGGGCTCCACATGGACCCAAGAGGCTCGTGTTGGGTATTTATGGATGTCTCTGTGAGTGACATCAATAACCACATACCAGCAGTCAGGGATGGGTTTTGAGTGGTGAATAGCCAAGTAATGGGTGAAGAAGACTTTCTTCTCTTTGCCAACAGCCTCCCAAGCTGCCCAATCACAGAGATCGACCATCTCACTGGGAAGAAATGGTGGTTCTCACAGCCACCTCCACTCTCTTTCCCCTCCCCTTTCCCTTTCTGTTTTGTTTGGTTTTTGCTTCTTGCTGCCATGTGGATATTTAGTTTAGAGAGAAACATCTGTTTCTTCCCCCTGCAGCAGAAGTGCAACAAGGCCGGATGAGAGGTGACCTGATAAAATAATCACAGATCACGAAGTAACAAGAATCCTACAGAGCAAGGAGCCAGCACAGCTCAGCAGGTCATCACAGGCCAGTTCCTATGTTGACATCTACAGCCTCAACAACATCAGTGGGAAGACTTAAGCACCCTGATTGGTATCTCAGCCCCTCTCAAAGAGTGTGTAATCATAAGGAATAAACCCGAACCCCAGGCAGCCAAGACAAAACATGATGCTGCATTTTCTTATGATCTTGGGTATCCTTCACCCAGCATCCACAATCACACTGCTGGTGCCCAGATGACTTGCCCTCAGTCCTGCAGGCTACATGAGCCACCACTTTTCCAGCAGCCCCTGCAGAGCAACCTTGCATTGCCTGGATGGGTGAGGGTTGGTGCCAGAGGTGATCACAAGCTGCAAAGTGCTGGACTATGCGTAGTGCTCAGGACAGCCCTGTATGTCATGGAGACACTCTTCAGGGATGCCAAAATTCCAGCAAATTGAAAGCATCTCTTTTTGGCCACTGGTTTTACTTTGCAAGCAGTGTCATGGCCATACTGGTGCATAAAGGTATGCTGTCTGGTTCTGCCAGGGGAGCAGGTGAGCTTTAAATCCTCTTGGTCATGGTGAGATGCAAGGAGAGAGGAGCTGGATTTTCACGCTGGGCATAGAGAGGAACAGATGGGAAAAGCCAACTCCAAACAGCTTTGCTGTCTGGCTGCCTCTGGCTGGGTAGCTCCAGCTGAGTTACGATCTGTAAGGTCAGAATACTTTGTGATGTCCAGAGACACTGTCAGATTTGACTGACCAGCAATTTTGACTTCGGGTTTTGTTCAGTCAGTCCAGATCTGCTGGACAGTAGCCACAGCAGAGAGTCCAATCTGCTGAGGGTCACATCTGCCAGCCCAGCGTTTCTCTGCCTGTTTGGAGCATATTTCAGACATGTCATAACTCTCCACACTCTCTGGATCATTCTTTCCCCTCCCTTCCCGCAAGGCAGTCCCAGATGGCAGCAGTGTTAAGAGAGAGGATGGAGGAACAAGAAATCTCCTGCCTTTCTCTGCACCCCCCTGAGGATGGGAAACACCAGCTCTGGGACTGAACTACACTGCTGTGAAATGACAGCATTTAACATGTTAACTGCAGTAGGCTAAGGTGCCAGGAGATGCACAAACTGAGCAGAGATGGCATTCTTCCCTGCTCCCACCATGTTCTTAATCCAAGAGAGACAGAGAACTGACAAACTCATTGCAGCAGTGCAGGGAGCTGCTGTGACAATGACTCTGTGTGGAAGGCTGTGCTGGGGGGCTGCGAGAGACCCCCTTGATCTCCAGCCCCGCTTGATTTCTCTGGTCTACCCCTTGGACCCAAGCTGTGCCTCAGCCCTGGGTGGGACTGCCCACTGGGGAGAGAGGGAGAGGAAGAGCCCCATTTGAAAAGATAGCGAGGAGGAGGAGGAGGAGGAGAGGCAGCAGGAAACCCAGCCCACCCTTTGGCTTCCTCCTGCCTCCTTCTAAAACCTGCAGACTCCTCCAGCCTGTCCAAGCGCCTGAAGTTCCCTCAGCCCTGCTGCCGGACTGCGAGGTATGGCCCGAGAGCTCCGCGTTGGCCTTTGCTGTGCTCTTTCTCTCACCATAGGGGTCCCGATAGTCTCTCTCATGGGGGGTCCCTGCCCTGGGAGGTGCTTTCCCAGCCCATGGGGTGCACCCTGTGCTTGGCAGCACACTGCTTGGGATGAAGAGGTGGACGCTCCCCATTCCAAGTGATGCCTTTAGAGACCCCTTCTGCCTTCTCTTTCTCCTCTTTGCAGCATCTCCACTCCTAAACTGAGGCTGTTAGTGTATTTCACTTTCAGATGACTAGCTTTAACACTGACGGCATTTGTAAAGGGTTAACCTGCCCTAAGTTTTTCTCTTTTCTCCCTTTTTCCCCTCTGGGTTTTCAGCTGTGGGGTATTTCCTTAGCAAGATGTGCAAGACAAATGTCTGTGCACATCAAACTGACCTGCAGAGCAAATCAGATCTAGTTACAGACCAGTCCCGAGGTGTGTTGGCAGGTGAAGTTTTACTCACCAGAGTATCGACAGGTAGAACAAAAGAGCTGTCGACTTCATCTCAGCGTTTTTACTTTTTTCAGTACAGCTGCTCTTGCTTCTCCTAAAAAAAAAAACCACCAAAAAAGAGACACTCAGCTTTTTGTTCCAAGCTGACTTTGAAACCGTTTCAAGTCCTGCTGCCCTGGTTTGTTTAACTCCAGCTGATCGACTGTTAGATGAAGGCTGCAGCAAAGGAGGAACAAAGCTCTCTTGGGGTTTCTTTTTAAGTTTTAAGAACTTGGGCTCAGTCAGGCACGATATTAGGTCCACGCAGAAGGAGTTAAGAGCTTGTTGCCTTTAAAGGCAGCCGCTGTCCTCGCCATCCAGTGACATGCGTGGCAGGCTAACTCTGCTCTTTGTGTCCCTCCTCTGTTGCATCCAGCCCAGAGAAGGAAACTTCACAGGATGGGGGCTAAATTCCCACCCAAACCAGAAGGCAACAGTTCAGGGGCACCGGGAAGGTCGCCAGTGATCTGAGCCCTCGGTTACCACCAACTTGAAACAGCCCAAAAACTCTGCAACACGCCAGGAGGGCAAAAGTAAATCACAGCCGTTGGTTAGGCTCGAATGGGCGAGTTTTAAGTGGACATAAAAGGCTGTTGCGTCCTGCACAGCAGCTAAAGCCAAGCTATTGTCTGCCACATAAGCAGGAGCAAGGATGCGGGCGGTGTTGGGAGGGGGAAGAGGAGAAATAAACTTTTCAAGCTTTTTTTTTTCCAAGCCCCTCCTTCCACAACTCTCTCCTCTTCCATGACTCAGCCCCAGAGGAATGTCGGCTCCCATGGAAACCCTTTCTGGGTCCTCTGGTCGGAGGGATGTCGGGGCTGCTATCGCTGGGCGAGCCCAGGGAGTGCTTTGAAGAGGGTTTGCATTTTTGCAGGATATTTAGTGACCAGTTTCTTCTCTCTCTGCTCTATGGAGCTGTGTGAGATCAGATCGCTGTGTCCCCCGGGAGCCAGGGGGACCGCTTGCACTGGCACAGAAGTATCCCGGCTGCTTTTGGCACTGTCCCGCATCCAGACAAAGCAAAAGAAACAGCTCGGGCAGGTCAGGAAAATGCTGTATCGCCTGTTCTTCCCACTAAGGTGTGCAAAGGGCTCACCAGTGCATCTCTCTGCTCGCAGCCCAGGTCTCATTCATGCTCTTTTCTTGGTACTACTTTAATAGTTTCCCATTGTGGATGCCATTTGCAACCTGGACAAACTGTGACAGCATCAAGCCAGTGCACAACTTTAGTGGCATATAACTAACATAACACATATAATGAGCGTTATTGCCCTTATAACAATAGCCCTGTAAGATCTAGAGCATTTATAAGCACAGAGCCGTTCAACCCTTTGCAAGGGGAATGGGTTAATACAGCGTTGTGGTGTAGATGTGTCTTTAGTGACTCTGCATGGACAGATGTGGTACATGAATTTTTTCCGCCCTGTGTTTTACTCAGAGCATGTAAGTGTGTGCATGAGCTAAAGGGAATTTCACTCCCATCTAAACTTAGCTTGGCTTTCTAAGCCTGCATGCTGCATGCCAGGGCACTGCGCAGGAGCCAGGCTGGTTTCTGTCCTCTGCTCATGCCCCGCTCCCCTGGGTCCCAATGCAGCTGCAGCACATCTGGGTGAGCCAGCACCCCCAGCAGCACACCCTGACACACAGGGACCTGTTCAGCGGGGAACATTATTGGGATTCACACAAACAACTCTGACTTCAAACAGAATTTTAGCCTAGGAGTTGACTTTAAACCCTCGCCTTGTGTCCCTGTGGTGGCCACATGTGGTCACCCATCTGCACCTTGAAAACTATGGCCCATGGTGGGGTTTGTAGAAGAAGCTTTTTTCTGGGCTGGTCCTGCCTTTACATTCAGTACTGGGGCATATCAGACCCTGCAGAACCTTGGAAGAGCAATGAGCAAATGGAGGGTGGGTGCAGGACACCCTGCTGCTCAGCCTGGCTGCCTCCTGCATGGCCAGGCTGGGTGCTGGTGGGAAGCTGAGACATAAGGAGGGGTTTTTCCCAACAGTTACCCTCTCCTGCTCCTCCCTGCTGGTGATGGGAGGTGGTAACTGGGCCCTTCTCCTGGGTCAGCCATGGAAGCATCTGGGGTTATCCCAGTGGCCTCAGGGAGGAGCTGTCAAAGTGGCCAGGCAGAGACTCCTCCCCACGCTAACGTGGCATCCCAAAGGGCTTATGCAACCCTGGCCAGGGCCAGTGCCACATGGGCCATGCTCCATCATCCACAGAGCCTCCTTTGGAGGCTGTACCCCTGGTCCTTGTGCTCCTCCAGCCCACAAAGGGCCCCAGGCTGGGTAAGAGGAGACAAGAGAGACCCACAGAACCCAGTAGCACAGACTCTGCCCCATGCATCACTCCAGGGTGTTTTCCCCAACAGGAGAAACCTATGATGGTGCTACAGAATTGGGGTGAGGGTGGTAAAGAGCTTGCCAGAATAGCCTGCTTTGAACTTATGGAGGTGTTGAGGATCAGCCTCAGACCTTTCTATGCCCCGTGGTTCTCTTATTAGGGATGTGTCTGCAAAGCACAATGAGCAGCTGGCACTGAGGAATAGCCTGGGCCACAGCAGAAAGGTTAAACCCTTGAGAGGGGTTTATGAGAGCCACAGGACTCCATTTACACAGCAACTAGGAGTTGAAGTTCCCACTTAGGATGCAAGTGGGGTCAGGTATTAGAAAGGCAGTGCAGGCCATGGGTCCTGCAGCCCATGGGTGCCAGGATCTCTTCTCCGTCATAAGCAGTCAGGAGGACAGGCCTGAGGAGGGGATGGTGACCATGGAGGCTCCTCTTATTTTATATTCAACATCCCTCTCTGTGCCCACAGCATCCTGGTTTCCAGGCTCTTATAAAGTGCTGACTACTTTAAAACTTCATAATCAACACAGTGTTGATTCTTTTAGGATGCAGAAGGGTATAAGTCCTTGCTTACTAAAATCTCACAGGAATACCCCCAAACCCCTCTGGCTGGGGGATGGATGCTGAGCTCATGATGACCCAACTGCCAGCTCCAGAGATTATCCTCTTGGACAGCAGGACCACAGTAGATCTATACACAGATTGGCACCATAGGCCAGGTTCTTCTGACGGCACAGCTCTGTGCACGGGGCTTCTGAGCTGTTATTTCAGGACTTTGGCCACCAGACATTCAGGAATGACCATGCCTTTGCAAAGCAGCCAGGGGCTCACAGACACTGCAATGTGCTCTGTGCACAGGCTCTGCCTCCAAAAGGATGTTGTTTCTCAAACAAACTTGTTTTCCCATCTCTGGTGCGAGGCAGCTCTGCAGAGCTTGTTTGCTCAGACTCTTTCGTGCTCCTTCTTCCTCCAAACACAACACTGGCAGCTCCAACTGTCTGCTGGCTCCCAGCAAGCATGTAATTCCCTGACCCCAGCTTACTGCATGCCCAGACTTTGAAATTCAAGGGTTTGGGGGGGCCTGAGGAAATGATCTGGGATGGCCTTGGTTTGGAGTTGGGTTCTTAAAGCCATCTTCCACATGTACATCTCCTCAAGGCTGGACACTGCCATGTTTCTGCCTAACAAGCCTTACTGAGCCTCATTGCATCTTCCAAAGCAAACAAGCCCCTTGGGAGAAGCCCAAGAGGAACCTTTACAAGCCAGTGGATGGCAGCAGAGGAGGAGATGGACAGATTCACTGGTACTTTTCCACCTCCCCACCACAAACCACCCTTCCAGAAGTGAAGAACCAGTGATCTCTCCTGTCAGATGCTGGGAGAGCTCTCAGCAGCCTCCAGAGTAAATAAAGGCAAGGGGAAGGGACAGCATGTACCAAGTGGGAGAGGAGGCAGCTGCTCAGCTGCAATCCCTCTCCCCACAGGTCCTCCATCCCACTGCAGCCTCCATCCCCACCGCTTCCAGCCCTCCACCATCCCTTGGGAAACTGCCCTCCATGCCCTGATACCTGCTTTGCACGGGCACCCTGCCAGGGCTGGGTGAGGCTCTGAGATTGGAAGGAGATTTCAGCCTCTGTGTGGCCAAACCTCGCTAAATTAGGAAGCAAAGCTCAGCCTGGCTGGTGCCCTGGCAGGACACAGTGTTGGCACGGTTTTATACCCAGAGATCTGCTGTGCACAGGGAGGATGGGAAAGGATGCGCTGACAAATCAGATATCCATCCATGCTCACTGGGAGAGACAACACCTGATCATAGGATCATAGAACAGTTTGGGTTGGAAGGGCCCTTCAAAGCCCATCCAGTCCAACCCTTCTGCAATGAGCAGGAGCATTTTCAACTAGCCCAGGTTGCCCAGAACCACATCCAGCCTGGCCAGGTGGAGAGGAGGAGGGCAAGCGGAAGGGGGGCAGCGGAAGCCTTGGCACAGGGACAAGTCCCCTCGCTGTCAGGAGACAAACCAGGGGTGTTTGGCTCTCCCAGCGGGCGGAAGGGAGAGGGCAGCCCTCCCTGTCAGGAGCAGGATGCCTCTGGCATATTAAGCTGCCATCTGAGCTCCTCTCTGCCCTCACACAGAGGGGCTCAATCCTGCCAAACAGGAACTGGAGGGCGGGGGGGACGACGACAAGGACAGGGTGATTTCACCAGCTGCACTCTCCTTCTGGCTCGCATTGCAGCCAGTGTTAGCTGAGCTGCCTGGATCTCTCATCCTATACAGTCCCTGTAACAGCCCAGATCAGGAGGATGCAAAGGGATCACCCTCCTGGAGCTCAAATCACAGAATCACAGACTGGTTTGTGTTGGAAGGGGCCGTAAAGCCCACCCAGTTCCAACGCCCTGCCACTAGAGCGGGTTGATCCAAGTCCTGTCCAACCTGGCCTGGAACACTGCCAGGGATGGGGCATCTCCCAGCAGGACACAACCCCAGAGAATCCCAGATCCCTTGAACCCAGCTGGGGGACCCTCAGGACTGAGCAGGAAAGGGAAAACTATAGTAAATACCCCAACATTTGGAGGTACTGGGGAGGGGAGACTGGTCCCTGATACCCCTACAGATGTCTGTGTCCACATGGGAAGGGGTTTTCTAAAGGAATGAATTCTCAAGTGCCCCATCTCACTGTTTCTCTGCTATCTCTTTCCTTCCTCCACTTTCATTTTTCATCTGATTGACAAATAAAATGGTAGAGTTTCATTGCTTGTACCTGGGACTCATATCAGGGCCTTTTAACATTAAAAATGGAGTGTTTTCTCCAAAAAACTCAGTTCCTTTCTTGTGAGGGAAAGGGGAACTGCCATTTTGACTGCAATTTTTCTAAAGGCATCCAGGAAAGCAACAGAAATCTAAACCCCTGCGGTCCCATTTTCCAAAATCAAAAGAACTTGTGTTGGAAACATGATCTAGCTTAAGGTTTTGGCTAGAAAAGCCAGCATGTGGGTCTGTAATATTGAGCAGATGAGGCAGGAAACAAGAGAACACCCTTTTCTAAGTGCCTGACTGCCAGCCATGAGCTCAGCCTGGAGCCCAGCAGCACATAGTGGCCTCCTTCCTCATCCCTCATTTTCCTCTCCTTTATTCAGGGTCTGCTGAAAGATGAGGGCCTGGATCTTTTTCCTTCTCTGCCTGGCAGGCAAAGCCCTGGCAGCTCCGGTAAGTGCAGGAGACAACGGAACCTCTTGCTGTCAGGGCTGTCAATCTGATGTATCTGATGGGGATTTTCTTCTATAAGGAATAAAACCCTGAGGGATGGGGGGAAGTAGTGGGAAAGGAAACCCAGTGGGTCATCCCCCTTAGGACCATCCTCTCCATAGACCCCAGCTCATGGTCCATTTCCCCTACAGCAGGAGGCTCTGCCCGATGAGACAGAGGTCATCGAAGATCCCACCACAGAGGTAGGTGACTCTGCTCCTCCTCCTCATTCCAACCCACCCACCACTCTGGGAAGAGCATCTCCAGAGCACGGCGGAGCAGGGGCAGCAATGGACCTGCTCTGCACACCAGGATCTGGTACTGACCCAGCAGAAACACTGGTCTCTCTTGCAGGAGCCCGTGGGGGCTAACCCTGTCCAGGTGGAGGTGGGAGAGTTCGAGGAACCCACTGAGGATGTAGAGGAGATTGTTGCAGAGAGTAAGTTGCTCTTCCCCTGCCCTCCAGCAAGCAAAGACATTGTCCCTTCCCTGGGGAAGAGTGGGAGACCTTTAGCCATTCCTAACAGTGAGAGACTTCTTTGGGAAGGGTGAAGCTCAAGGACTATGCCAACATAGATGCATACTTAAAAGCAAGAGAGGTATTCTCTGTAAGCTCCCTTTTGCAACATTGCCATTGCACTGTGTGGCTATAGAAGGGAGCCCTTAGGGCTAACATGGACTTCTGCAAACCCTCACATCTTCCCAGTGCAAGAAGAGATGCTCAGGGCTGTCCCTGGTGAAGTCTCTGTCTTCCCTCCGTGCTGAGATACCCTGAGCAGCTCATGGGAGGTGAGGATGGGGCAGGCTCTAACTCTGCTCCCTGCCCTCTCCCAGATCCCTGCCAGAACCACCACTGCAAGCATGGCAAGGTGTGCGAGGTGGATGACAACAACTCTCCCATGTGTGTGTGCCAGGACCCCTCCAGCTGCCCAGCCACTGCCGGCGTCTTCGAGAAGGTGAGGGCAGAAGCTGCTTGATGGACCAGAGCAAGGGGAGACCCCACATGGGGATGGGGGCCAGGGGGAGACAAGTCAGGATGGCATGTCCCCGTTTGGCCAAGGCCAGTGGTGACCAAGAGCCGTTGTTCACCCCAAAAAGCAAGTTAAACATCTCATTTGCATGCTCTCTGCTGACACAGCAAGACTGGGCTTCGCTGCTTCTCACACAGCATCTCCCCATCCTGTGCAGGTCTGCGGCACTGACAACAAGACCTACGACTCCTCCTGCCATTTCTTTGCCACCAAGTGCACCTTGGAGGGAACAAAGAAGGGACACAAACTGCACCTGGACTACATTGGGCCTTGCAAATGTAAGTGGAGCCATTCCCTTAGACAAGGGGACCCCTAACCTGAGCACAGCCCTCCTGTCCATGGGCTGAGGGACAGCAAAGGTGCAGGCAGGCTCAGGGGTGAGGTGGGAGGGCTCTGGGACTGCATGTCCAGACACCTCACTGACCACCACGTATGGTTTCCAGTCATCCCTGCCTGCCTGGACACAGAGCTGACAGAGTTCCCCCTCCGCATGCGGGACTGGCTCAAGAACGTGCTGATCACCCTGTACGAGCGCGATGAGGACAACAACCTGCTGACCGAGAAGCAGAAGCTCAAGGTGAGGGACTGGGGAGGGAGTCTGGGAGCTCACCCCATCAATGGAGCCCAGCACACATGGAAGCCCATCCAGAATGAACTGTGGGCACCTCCCAGGGCTCCCCTTGCACCCCATTCCCTTGCTGACAGGGTGCCCCCGGCATCTCCTATGACAGGTGAAGAAGATCCATGAGAACGAGAAGCGCCTGGAGGCTGGTGACCACACCGTGGAGCTGCTGGCCCGTGACTTTGAGAAGAACTACAACATGTACATCTTCCCCGTGCACTGGCAGTTCGGGCAGCTGGACCAGCACCCCATCGATGGGTGAGCGTCAGCACAGCAGGACGGGGACCCTTTCCTGCCCAAGGACAAGGGCGATTCAGTAGCAGAAGGTGTCGAGGCAGGCTGGAGATGTGACATGAGTGGATGGTTGCAGAGGCACAGGCAAAGGGACAACCCCTGCACACATTGGGCATGGGTTGGGGCAAACCAGGCTGGGGTGGAGGAAGTTTTGCCTTCATTTCTGCAGAAAGAGATGCCTCTCCCAGCCCCAGCTGCTCCCATCTCCCGTGGGTGTGGAGTTTCTGCCTTCTCAGATTTGCTGTCGTGTGATAGTTCCCTAAAATATCTTAGTCCAAAGGCCCTGGGATAACTTCAGCAGCTGAAATAGCAGCTGCTGGCTTAGCTGGGAGCTGGAGATGGGCATGAGAGTGATCACACACACAGACCCAGGGGCTAGAGGTGAGGGGGGACCCTCAGCTGCTGGCTGTTTTGTGGCTAGCCTCAGCTGCTGGCTGTTTTGTGACTAGCACAGCAGTCTGACCTTCGTGACACCCAGTGGCAGATACTGGGAGGGCACTGGGACAGCAGTCGAAACAGAGCTGGCACCGGCACCTTGCCCTGTGCTGGCCCCCGTGCACAGCAAAGCATCTCCCTTCCTATGGGAAGGCGGCTGGTGTCAGGCAATGCACTGACCATGCGGTCACCTCGCAGGTACCTGTCCCACACTGAGCTGGCCCCGCTCCGTGCCCCCCTCATCCCCATGGAGCACTGCACCACCCGCTTCTTTGAGGCTTGTGACCTGGACAATGACAAGTACATCGCCCTGGAGGAGTGGGCCAGCTGCTTCGGCATTAAGGAGCGTAAGTACTGAGCCGGGACGGAATGGGGGTGGAAAAGACATGGAAAAGCACCCACAAAGCCCACATAAAGCAATGCATTACAGCCGGTCCTGGGGAGGGAAAAGCAGTGGAGAGTGGGGATTGCAGGTGCACTGGGACCTTGTCAGTATCCACCTCCTAACCTTGTCTCTCTCTTTTCCTTCCACAGAGGACATTGACAAGGATCTTGTGATCTAAACCCCCGGCTTCCTTCTCTGCTGCCAACTTAGTCTTATTTTAACCTTCCCACTTCCTTTGGTTTTTAAACTGCTTTTGTTTTGTTTTGTTTTTCCCTGGGAACAAGGTGCTAATATAGACCTAAACATATGTAGTAATGGTGCTAAGAGAAATAACAGTCCTCATTCATAGACTATTACCACTAGATTACTCACTCCAAAAGCTTTCACCAGCTCTTTCTCTCTCCAACATGTCTTTACCATTGACTGACGCTGTTCATGTCCTAAATATCCTCTCTGTCTCAGTATCTGCTCTCAGACTGACTTCTCTTAACATCTCACTAACAGCACATTCTTGGACACATCTGCATAGACACAAAGACCTCTCAGCTGATTCACTGCCCAATATTGACCACCAGCAAAGGAAGGCAGAGCAGAGTATGTAGGAGGATTGGGCTTTTCAAGCAGAGTGGCTGTGGGTGACACTCTGATCACCCAGTTCATGGTAGGGGGGATGGAGAGGGATGAGAAAGATATAGAGTGGTAGGATTTTGTTTTCCCCCTTTTTTCCCCATTCCCAGGGCTTGAATTGAACAATCATTGGGCACAAAAAGAAGGGCTAATCAACCAAATGGACAAGGAAAGCGCACAAAAATTAAAACCAATGAGATGAAATGCATCCCATCCTGTAAAATCCCCTCCACAAATAAAAGTTTGAAAGTGCTGTGTGCTTTACCATTACTCGATGACCGTACTGCTGTTGTGTTTTCTGTGCTGCAAAGGGTAAGTGGCTATAGCTGCCTGTTCCTTTGGGTGTGTGGGGCTGACCTTGCTGTTGTGATTCTGCTGTCACTGAGATAAAGCTCTTGACTCTCCCCAAATCACAGTGCCCCTGAGTACTTCCCACTTCTGCCTTGGTTGTGCTTAAATTCCAGCCCTGCTCTCCCAGGGAAGCTGTGTTAGTCTTGGAAGGGACATTTCTGCATAGAGAGAGGTGTGCTTGCCACGTGCTCGAAGGAAAGGCTGTGATATATTTTTCCTGCTGTGGATTTTGGGGTTTAAGGGATGGGTGGGAGGACAGGGAGAAGGTATTAAGGTATTTGGATTTTGCTTTATAGACAGTGTCCTGACAGGAGCAAAGGGATGGTTATGTCTCACAGGCTGAGAACTCCTTTTTTACCTCTGAATGTTCCCTGTGCCTTATATTATTAAATTCCTGCCACAGTGTGAGCAACCCGATGAGCCTCTGTAATAAAAAAATACTGATCTGAAACACTGACAATAAACGAGCTTACAATGTTCCTCTGTTTCGTCCCATCCCAACAAGGGGGATTGCACATGTATCACCAACCTCATGCATGTGTTCAAGTTTAATACAAGCATCCCAGACCCAGGGAAGAGTCTGGTCAAGGTAAGCTGAGGTGCTCCTGCCAGTCACAGCTAGTCACCTCACTGTAAATGGGCTCTTTGGGGTATATTGGATGGGTGATACATGGGCAGATGAAGGCAGACAGGGTCACTGCAGCAGCCAGCACAGACACACACATGGCTCTAAGGACTTCGCTTTCATGAGCAATAAAATCCCTGGGAAAGGTGAAAAGGCAGAACAGTATCAAAACAAACACCACCACTTGCATGGCTAAAAATATCCACATTGCAAGAGCTCTGGTAAAGCTGTGAGGTCCCCTGCTAACAGCCCCCAGCTGGATGTGCCATGGTACAGGCAGACCTGTAGGTCAGATCCTACTCAGCGTTGCTCTTGGCTGCAGAGCCCAAGGCAGGTCGCGTTGGGAATGGTCACTGTGGCAGTGCTGTGCCAAGCTGTTTGAACCCAGTGGGAAAGCTGATGCCCAGAGGCGCCAAGCAAAGGTCTTTCCCTCCCTGCCTTAAACCCCAGTGCTCGTTCCACCCAACCACGCTGCTTCCCAGAGGAACCATTAGCCAGAGAGGGATTTCCTCAGTGGAGACCCAGCAAATGCCACCTCGGGAGCTGGAGAGGGAGGATTTGGGCAGAGGAGCATGGGAAGGCAGGCAGGACCAGAGGAGATCGGCCACCGTGTGCGAACCTGCTTTCCAGTCGCTCCCTCTCAGCCAGAAACTCCTGCTCATGCTCCTCTGCCAAGACAACATTCCTGCCAGCCCCAGCCCTCCCCTCCAGCGCTGCTGGACAGCAAGGGAAGGCTCTGCAGCCCTACTCTCCTCTGCCTTCTCCTCTTGTGCTGGAATCGGCTCTCAGCCACAGCAAGCTCAGGAAAGTCAGCAGGCTCTACTAGGAAGGCAGTTATCACTGCTCAGGAAGGGGATGGGATCCATCTCTATGTCCATGTCCCATCCCAGGGGATGACACCCAGCAGCCTGGCAGAGCCCAAAGGGCCCCCATCTCAGTGCTATCACAAGTGCAGCTATCCTGGCTTTAACTCATGATGCTCATCCCAAGCATCAAAGTGAGCTCCAGAGGCTGCAGCTGGGCCTTCTTTAACCCTTCAAAGGTCATACTTTGAAGTCTCAAGTTGCTGGAATTTCACTGCATTGGGGCAAATGCCATACATGGGTTACATCAGGACTTGGGGAATAAGCTGGCCTTTTTAAGCTTTCAGACCTAGATGGTCAGCAAGGGTGGAACAGAACAGCCCTTTCCCTGTTACACCCGAAATCGAGCTTTCCAGTGCCTGCACTTTCCAAGTGGAAATTCTCCTTGTGGTTAGTGCTGACTGAGGACACAGTTTGCAAACTTGGGAAAAAAAAAAAAAAAAAAGAAAATAGAAAAATAACATAGAGATTGGGGTCCAAAACCAGCTTGACACAAGCACAACCTGGCCCGAGTGCTACAGTGCATCTGCAGGCAGAGGTGGCTAATTTTGCTGTAGTTACTCAGGGCAGCACAAGAAAGCAGCTGAGCATTGCCCTGCAACCCACAGAGAAAAGATGGAAAGACAAAGATTTGTGCAGAGATTAGTGCTTTCCTGTCCTTTTTCCTGATCCTTACTTTTACGAAAGAAACAAACTATGGCATAAATGCTGCACCAAGGTTTCTGGCTTAAATATTTGTGCAGAGGATGCAAAAAGGTGACACTCGAGGATCACTGACTGCTCCAGTCACACACCCCGAGACAACCTGGACTCCAAGGCTCACTGTTTGCAAGGTGTAGCTGCACCCAGAGATGCTTCTGCTCTAGCTAATGGTGCCATGGGAAACTCACAGGGTTAAACCTGTCCTGCAACACACATGAAGGCTGGTATTTCACACAGGCCTGAGCCTCATCAGCTAAAATCAGTCTGCAAAGGAAGACTGAGCCATATAACTGAGGGTTTTGACCCACATTCAGCTGGCCCACAGCAGTGGGGTTGGTGAAGCTACTTTTCCTGGTTAGGTATCACTCACAGCAGTCCAAGCACACCCAGACTGGCTGCGAATGGGGGATCTCATCACGATCCACTGGATACGGCTCAGGATGGGTCCCACAGTGTGTGGTGGGGATGGTGCCAGGACCACCTCCACATGCTCCAACTCGTGGAGCAGCTCCTGAACTGCCCATATCCACCGCAGAACCGTCTTTTGGCTTAAACCAGCCTGTGTATCACAGCCTCAGTAAAACCAAACCCTATCTCCGGCGAACAGACAACACCGGGGAAAACGCCTCAGGGGATGCACCTCCCTGCCTGGAGGAAGAGGAGGAGGGAGGCGGGAATCCTTCTAACACATCCTTCTCCTGCATCCCTGCGCGGCAGCAGCGGCGCGGCCGGCGGGGGGAGCGGCAGGG